AAATAAATCAACATACAAGTGTTATGTCTTTTTGCCCCGTTAATTACCACGTAACTGACCACCAATTAGAAAACAACATATAAAATCTTAGTACTATGCCAAACCCATGACGTGTTGACTGATACGAGTAGCGTAGAGTCAACTCTGAGTCCTTATTAGTTCTTCAGATATACTTGATTTATATACGACCATTAAATAGAAGATAACAATTACACAAGATCAAGTCAAAAGTGGCTGTGGGTGTGAGGGACTGTAACTAATAGATTGAGAATGATTTCGGAATAGTAAATCGTATAATAGTAGTCAACAGATCAAATAAAAGTGTATGGTAAAGGAAATATAAATATATATGATGTAGTTACTTAACAGTTATACAATAAAAATATATATGATAACATTTTATAAATAGTTCCCAGGAGTTACCCATAATTTATTCTTCTTTAGATATAACAACAAGTAACGTTCATCTCTTAAAATTAAACTTTTAAAATATACATTTAGTTCTTCATCAGTATCAAACAATGAGTACTGCGAACAAATGATTATGACCTCAAAAATAATAAATTAATTTTGTCCATTATTTATGTTTCAAAATTAATGTAAGCTCATTTTGTGCAGTCATAATTCAAGCGATTAATCAACGGAATGTTTAAATAATCGATACTTTGTTACCCGACAGGAAACCTACGACTTAAGTTTCGTGTTATTTGATATTGATCAGCAATGAATACCCGTAATTGGAGTAATAATACACATATTGTACTTTTTCGTTGCAAAATATAAAAATACGAAACGACAGTGTTATTATATATATATATACATATATATATATATATATATATATATATATATATATATATATATATATATATATATATATATATATATATATACTGATAATATACTACCTTCAACTTCAGTAACAGTAACTTAAATCATTATCAACCAGTTTAATTCATTCTACATTTATCATTCTTTTGTTTTACCAGTTCTAACTATTATCATTTAGTTTTTTTTTTAACTACAGTAAAACGAACTCATTTATCATGGTGAATAATATCAATGGTTATGATAATAATTGATGTTGACGTTCTCGTTGTGTTTAATAATACTGGTAGGTAATTATTATTATTATTAAACATTAATTTACTTCTACTTATAATATATTAGTACTGTGTATTTTATTCTTTTCATTCCATTTCTTTTCTTTTTTCATAAAAAGAAGAAAAAAAAAAGAAACTATATCAAAAGTTGGAAGATAAAAATAGATGAGAAAGAAGGTATATTTTTTCAAATGAATCTCATTATGATCATCTAATCATTTAATATATTATCTAGTTGTTTTATTCTCTTCCTTTGTAATGTTATTATGATTTCAATAATTGAGATCATAAGTTAATTGAAGCTAGACCACCATGGAAAACCTGAAAGCACTGGACGACCGTTTCGTTTTATTATTATAATTCATTAAATGTATTGATAAATGACTATTGTTGAAATTTATGTAAAATAGAATTTTCATGGTTTAAATCACAAACGAATTTTAACTAGACCATTATTGAAAACTAAGAAGCATTAGACAGCTTTTCTATTGTATTATAAGATTCCATAAAAGTGTATATCGATTATTTCATTGGAGATTGAAACCAATGTCTTTAATTTCGGGCGTGAACGATTCACACTTAGACCATTGAGTCAGCATCCAATGGATAGAATTCAGTTATTGTTTTTTTATGTCATGAATATTAGATTGACCAAAATATAACCTAAGATTTTACAGTTTTTAATATGTTAGTTGACTGGAGATACGATGATATTCTAATGATAATATTGATAATTATATAATCAAGTAGTGATCAGATTCAAGATTCGAAATCTTGAAGCCCTAGTGTGAAGATTTGACTTATGGAATTAATCAAGTTAAGAGTAAAACAGCTACTCACCGTTAACATTAAATTGTAATCTTAAGCAACAATGAAATTAGAAAAAATATAGAAAAATCAACTAATTAATTTTGAACGATTGTTAAATGATGTGCTGGAAAAACAATTTGACTATCCTAGAGTAAAGTCTATCCTAGATTCGTCGGTTCACACTGTTTGGAAGTCTCAAAGTAAATGGCACTAGCTGCCAAATTATCAATAGTTCTCTCTGTGATGTAATCACATGATAAAAATATACCCTAAAACAAGTAAAAATCATTCTAAAAGAACTTTAAGTAAAAATACCAAATAAAAAACTGATTTATGACAATTATTCAAATGAATTACAACTATATAGTTCAGAGTTCTTTCTAGTTATTTTTAAAGTTTATTCACTTCGTTATCTATTTAATACAACTCTAACCCCTGTTATGAATAAACAATCACAATTGAATTTAGGTTTTCCAGCAAACTAAATCCAGCCTTTCATTATTTATTTAGAACTCAATCTATTAAGCAAATTAGTTTTCTTTTCATATACGTTTTAAGCTTAGGAAGGTAACAAGTGAGTATTTAACTTCTCTCTAATCGTAAATAGTAAATAAATATTACACAGAGAATTTCAAATCATACTTTCAACTCATATTTTAGTTACCAATTTGCAAGGATTCAATAAATGAATAGATTGTTTTTTTATAATCAAAGTCTGAGGCGTTCAATTCAGACATAAACTATTTACTAAGTTTCTACTCTCGAGATATATACATTTTCAGTAAGATTCGTTTATACCTATACCCTAAGAACGTATTAATACAGACTAATTAATTGGTCATCCTTCAACGACGTAGATTTCTGATATCATTTCGAAATATTTTATTCACTCCATGTCATTACCTTTTCATCTTAATATTGAGATGGTTTTTTTTTTTTTAAATAAACACCTGATGACAGGGATATTGTATTGAACGTACTTCTACTTTTAAACATACAGCCCCGGTTTTTAATCTGTGTGATAATTGTTTTTATCATCTGAAATACACTAAGCAAGATCATTTTGGGCAAATAATTGCTAACAGTATAAATAATTTTAAAAATGACTAAATAATACTGGTTTTATGCATTATGAGGATTAGATTAGCTAACATTATAGTATGTGTCGACTTAGCTACTCTTTTGCTAAACCTTGTTTTATAGTGTTCACGAGTTCGAAATTGTAAATTTCTAGAACGCTAGGCAAGTTGTTGTAAAAAAATTCTCTTCGTTTATATATTTATATTCTAGTATAATAAGGACTTTTAAACAATCCCTTAATCCACTAATTTATGGGACTTGCTAAACACAAATTAAGGTTTCAGATACTGAATATTGAAATGAACAGATTAATACTGTGTGATATGATATTATATTTTATTACTACATGACAATATATACACTCTTTTTTCTATACACAGTGCCCTATCAAAATTACTTAGATAAAATGGTCTCATGTTTATTCATTCATATGAAATTAGGATTAGGCAGTAGAGAAAGAGAGAGAGAATGCACTAAATAGATTTAACTAAAATATACAGTTAGCTATAAAAATGTCAAATTACAAAAAGAAAGGAGATTTATGTGTCTTGACCACGCCTCCCCAATTAATTCACATTGATCAGGGTAGTTATTGAAATATAGCCACGTGTTTCACGCATTTTTGAGCTTGACTTATACTATAGAAGCCAATAGAGGTTCAAATTGAGCAGATACTAGTACACACTACATACGGACACACACACACACACCTGTCTTTAGAAAATTAATGTAACATTAACAAAAAACCATTATATCTGTATACTCTACCTTCATTCTATTTCAAAAGCATATCTGCCACCTACAACAACAAATGTGATTTATTTGCTAATATCTACTGTAGTTCTATTAAAACTCTTCCAAGGATAAATACACATACATACAAAAAACAACTACATCATTTTAAAAAAAACATACCACATAAGTAGTTTATTGAATATAGGGATATACACATGCAAAATTCTCAGATATTCATACACACAAACATGCTCTATTTTATATGTCTACAAGCTACCATACACTGTTATTTTAACTTAAAAACTCGTTTACACAAACGAAACGAAATAACAAAACTCACATACAATCATCAAAAGCGGCAGAATGTTTGTAGTGTGCTGTACGTAAATCATTTAGTTTTTTTTGGTTTTGCCAAAGAAAATTCAATGGATTCAAACAATCACGAGTGAAAAGATAAGATAAATTGACAACTGTACGCCAAATGTTTTTCCTAGCACCTCCCCTTCCCCTCCCTCTATTGGATTAGTCCTAAAGGAATACTGTTGGTAAAATGTAGGTGCGTTGACTTAAAATTACTTATTTTGAACAAATGATAATTATTATTAGTCAGAAATAAACATTGACTAGCAGTGTAATCGAGGACGTGGATTTCGTCCTGTTTGGGACTCATCAGCTAGATGTGCCCGGATCCGAGTTGATGTTGACTCCAAGACCCTAATCCAGGACTTTTCCACCTAGCTACTCAGTACAGATAACTACTAGCTTAAGAGACAGTGTGAATTATTAATTCATATGTATTGGTTATCTGAATGATTCCACTGATGTTTAGGACAGGAGTTGATCAATAATGTGAATAACTCAAGGGCATTTAAAGCGAACGATAAAGGGTTCTATTCTCGAGGTGAATATCAACTCTGGAACTCAAGTCCAACCAGCTTGTGAGTCCCAAATGGGATGAAACGCGGGTCTTCTATTTGACTGCTAGCCACCATCGTTCTCTACTTAAAGATGCTTTTGATTTAATTTCACTCCGTACAAGATGCACATATAATAAATGATATTGATCAGTTCGAGTCCCAAATGTCAATAGGAACATTCAAACGACCAATATATATGAATTAATTATTATTATTTTCATGATATCTAAACATTCCGACAAATTTTAGAAAACGATTATTATTATTATTATTATTCATTTTGTAATATATGTAACATGTATATGTGTGAACAGGTTTGAGTAACCAGTATCTTCTTGTTTATATAGTGACAATGATGACTGAAGTATCAGGTAACTGTTGATTACACATAGATTATATACGAGTTAAAGATGATAAGCTCCAAATATTCAACACTGTAAGGTGTTTGTTCTCTGGTTAAAACACTAAAATGACATATTTAAATAGCTGGGGCTGTTTTAATTATTATAATCGTTTTGAAGGATAATGTTTTGAATTTAATCATTATACAACATTTTTAATTTTATTCATTGATCGTAATGATTATCACATATATTGTGAAATAAGGAAATCTTAATGCTTAGAATATAATATTGAATAATGACTAGATTAATTTTGTAAAACGATTAAAGTTGAAAACGTCATTCAAGTTCACTGATGCAACGTTTAAGAACTATTATGATAGCCTAGAGTTCAACTATATCGAGTTTGAGCCAGTTACCCACCAATGGGATTGGAAGATGACGTCAGAATATCATGAATGTACTGAAGTTAAAGACCTGAAGGTCCTGGGTTCAGTCCTTAAAGGGGTCGTGGATGTGTATTGCAAAGCAGTTTCATTTGAGGATGAAACATCTTCCAAGTTCTTCCTGTTTTTCAGAGGTAATCTGGTTAAGGTCACTTTGTGGTGTACACTGTAGAACTTAAGAACCTCAACAAAACTCTTACTCTGGTATCTTGCGATGTTTTCATAAAATAGAGAGCCAATAATTTAATGACCATTTCGAATTTAAAACTGTAGAATTAGTATTCACATAGATGATTTGTAGAAATTAATTTAATTCTGATTTAGTCTTCATTATAAAATGTTATCAGTGGCAGAACTGCTGAAAATTTAAATGTACTTAACAGGTATTTCTTAAAACTCTGAAAGTTTGCAGTTATGAACATTTATGACCCCAAGATGAATATGACACGATTCAACTATCAATCAATAGCAGATATCATTTAGTGAATAACGATCATCCCTATGAAATGGATGACCACTTCAATTGTGTACTTGAACACTTAACCTCTCGACCACTGCACCGTGATAGTAGTGAAATATCATGGATTGATTAAAGTGAGACCTGTACACTATTAGGTCTCGATCAAGCTTTCTTGAGCGAGATCGAATGTCCTGGGTTTCGAGCTCATAAAACAGATAATTAATCCAAACAATATTCTGTGATACCCTACCAAAATTCAAAGTTTACTATAGTACATAGTGGAACTTAAATACTGTTTAAGTGTTTTAATATTTTCACTATATAAGCTCCTTAAGCATTTAAAAACACTCTATGGGGAATAATGATTTGATCACCACCATTCCTAATACATCATCATTGTAAGATATTAGAAAAACTGAATTTCGTTTTAAAGAAATACTCAATTTTAAATAATGAACGAAATTGATTATAAAGTCGAAGAAGAATTAAAAATAATTCAGGGAAGAAAGCTTTCGTTTTCTTGAAAGCTGTAATATAACTAGAATTCTACAGCTTTCCAGTAGATGATATCGTTATAAATTTTCTTTTAATAAATCCCAATGCTCCATCTTGTTGATATTTATTGGCAAACAATGTTTCAAACATATTGAACTAGGTATTTTTTTCTATGATAATGATCCCAAAAAAACACACATTTCTAAAGAATTTTCCCTCTTCAAATGACGTAATCTTGACCTTTTAATCAATAATGTTATTTGGTTTGATTGTTACACTTATAAACTTGTTTATACGGCTTTAGAAAATGACGTCATTGTGTCAGGGGAATGAAATATTTTACTTATTATGAAATGGGAGAGGGGAGAATTTCTAAAAAAGAAAAAAGGTGTAAAAATATTTTTTGTTATTACAGTTAGAAATACACATGATCATATTTCTAGTCAATTTCTATTTGTCTGAAAGATTTGCCAATTTTTCTTGATCGCTTGTTTTTTTAAACAAAGAAAAAGAGGAACTGTTTAATACTGTTTATTTGTTTGCGTAGTTAATTGGAACATATTTTATTGATCATAGGATAGAAAAATTCAATGTTTCAAACATAATCTCTCTACACAATCTTAACACATACAGTAAATTGAGTTAGTGTATAATAGGATCCATTTACTCTGTCTTAAAATACTTATACACTTTGTTTTCGCAAATTCATTCGCTCTGCTTAAATCACGTTGTCTATACCTATATGTATTCTATTACCGTTGATAATGTTATTATTTCTACTAATTTGGGGTTTATTGTGATAATGTCATCTTACTATACTACTATGATTGGGCAACTACAACCGGTTCAGTGATACTTATAACTAACTTGAAATATTCGGTTGCCTGGAGCTCCTCTGGGTTAATGTCGGTCCCAAGCCCGGATAAAGGAGGAGGGTTGGGTATAGAGTTGGTGACCTCATCCTGTAGGAAACTAACTCGCTAAAAAACACTAACTAGAAAAAGTAATTCAAATCATTTAAACTCTGTCCTGAGGGTTAGAAGGTTATAACGTCTCATGATGAAAGTCGAGTTCCTTCGGAATTCACGAAGCTGATACCCCTTGTGACAACCAGAGCACGTACAGTGTAGAAGACCAGGAGAGTTATCTAAGTTGCTGCAGAAGTGAAATGATAAAATCTGGAGGCGCTTGAAATCAATGAAACATATTGGACGCAGGTTGTACAACAGAGACTAATTTCAGTAGAGCTGCTGTTATACTCTGGCCGTGAACAAGAACATTCTCTACATACACAAAGAGTTGCATTGATACTGTCCAAACAAGCACAAAATGCACTTATAGGATGGGAATCTCATGGATCAAAGATCATCAAAGCCTCCTTCAATACAAAGAAAGAGGGCATTTCAATGAACATCATCCAATGCTATGCGCCTACCAACTATTACAATGAAGACGTTAAATACCAATTCTACGATAGGCTGCAGTCAATCATCGAGAAGTGCCCAACAAAGGACTTGACCGTTCTGATGAGAGACCTAAATGCCAAGGTTGGAATGGACAACACCGGATATGAAGACATCATGAGACGACATAGACTGGGAGAAAGGAACGAAAATGGTGAGTGATTCGCAAACCTGTGTGCCTTTAATAAACTGGTCATAGGCGGCACCATATCCCCACATAAACGCATACACAAAACCACATGGACTTCACCGGATCACACCACGCAAAACCAAATCTACCATATTTGCATCAACAAAACGTTCAGGAGGACTATAGAGGACGTGAGAACCAAGAGAGGAACTGATATAGCCTCAGATCATCACTTGCTGGTCGCCAAGATGAAATCGAAACTCAAGAAGCACCGGACAATGGGGTGGACAACATCACAAAAGTTTATTACGGCTTTTCTTGGGGATGATGACAAAATCAACAAATTCAAGATAGCTCTCAGCATTAGGTTCCAGGCCTTTCATGATCTACTCAATGGAGAGGGAATGGAGAGGGAGAGCAAATGGGAAGGGATAAAGGAGGCAATCACTTCAACATGTCATGAGGTTCTGGGACACAAAAGGCACCACCACAAGGAATGAATCACTGTTAATACACTGGATAAGATTCAAGAAAGGAGGGACAAGAAGGCAGCAACCAGTACCAGCCGAACAAGAGCAGAGAAATCCAAGGCAGAAGCTGAATATACAGAAGTAAACAAACAAGTGAAAAGGAGCATCAGAACCGACAAACGAAAATATGTGGAAATATGGTGGAAAAGGCTGCAGGAGAAGGAAACATGACACAATTGTATGATACAACAAAGAAGTTCACTGGAAATTATCGTAAACCATAACGACTAATGAAAATCAAGAAAGGAAAAGTAATCACAAACACTGAAGAACAGTGAAACAGGTGGGTAAAGCAGTTTAAGAAACTCTTGAATCGGCCAGCCCCACTGAACCCACTCAATATCGAAGCAACAATCGATATTGACCCATCAACAATTAAAGAGATCATCATGGCCATCGGACAAATCAAGAGCGGCAAAGCAGGAGGACCGGACAACATCCCAGCAGAGGCACTAAAAGCAGACGTAGCAGTAACTGCAAGGATATTCCACATTCTTTTCAGCCATATTTGGGATGAAGAAAAAGTACCAAGAGACTGGAGAGAAGGACTTCTGATCAAAATACCAAAAAAAGGCGGTCTCAGCAAGTGTGATAACTACAGGGGCATTACTCTTCTCTCAGTACGAGGAAACGTCCTCAACAGGGTATTGTTAAACAGAATAAAAGACTCCGTAGACACCCGATTTCGAGACCAACAGGAAGTATTCCGTAATGATCGATTATGTACCGACCGATCATTGTGGAACAATCAATGGAATTCACCACTCTAGATTAACTTCATTGACTACGAGAAAGTATTTGACAGTGTGGACAAGACAACACTACGGAGGCTTCTTCGACACCACGGCATGCCTGAGAAGGTAGTCAACATCATACTGAATTCTTATGATGGATTAAACTGCAAAATCGTGCATGGAGGACAATCGACAGCCTCGTTCGAAGTAAAGACCGATGTCAGGCAAGGTTATGTACTCTCACCCTTTCTCTCTCCTGGTGCTCGACTGGACCATGAAGACGTCAACATCTGGAGGGAAGCCTGAGATACATTTTTTTACACATAAAGAACTCGTTAAATTCTTCTGGCATTTCCTTTTATTATCTCTTAACAGATAGTAAGAAATCATTATGTACTTAATGTTCACGATATTGATTGTAAACTGTTTGAAAAATGCTCAACAAGTTTTTGGTGACCAATGAGGAAATCTATCACACTGGGCAATATTTATAGCATAAATTATTAGATGGGATCAAGTATTTTCAGCGTTTGGTAGTCTTAAAGTACATTAATCATCTACACTTTGATTTGAATAATTTTAAAATATGGAAATAGTTTTTTTTCATTACTAACTGACTTTCACTAAAACAATACTTGAATAGTGAGGCGTATTGAGTTGCTCTTTCGTTCTAATATATGACCATTCAATAAGGTATAGCTACCATCTCATATCACTGGATTGAATTTGAGATATTCAGATTTCTTGACGAACTTTAGGCATTTTGGATAATTGATTAATGATCTGAAGGTCTCTATTTTTAATTTCAATTAGTTCGCCATAATGTAACTGTTTCGTTCTTGGATTTAGTGGTAGAATGCTGGGATAATTGCATTTCAGAAGTAATAATTAGTGAGTAAATGATTATTATTGAAAAAGATTGTAATATTATCTTTATAATATTTGACGCCAAATATTACGTTGGGAACACTGAACATTAGTAGATTTGTGTATCATAATAAACTTTTGACTGGTCAGTTATAGTTTGGACATAGTAATTAATATGAACCGAACGATATGTAAAGGAATATGCATCGGTCTAGTCGGAATTTACTTCAATCTAACTTCGATATTAACTAACTATTCATCTGGTCATCAATGTTATTCTTCTCAGTCACGTTAATCACAACCAAAATCAACTCAATTCAACAATCAAAAATGAAAAACTCGTATCAATGATTTAAGGTCGATATTAATATTGTTCGATATCGACTCAGTTGTCTGTAGGTTAAGTGTTCACGTGTGAGACAGAAGGCCTTGGGTCCGACTCCTGAATGCAAGGTCATAGGTGTGCACTACTAAGGAGTCCCATACTAGGACAGAACGGTAGAAAACAGTGCTCCTAGGTTTTCAATGATGATCTAACATTGATCAGTTTATAATTTCAATGAAATCCAACTATCTTCGCAACACCATACTGAAAATTATTTAAATAAAATAACTTCACACAATTATACCATACATATGAAAGAAAACAAAAAGTAAAAACAAATTTAAGCCCCTTCCTCATTATTTAAATTCACATTATTAACAAGCCCTCATGAACAAGTTGAGTTTTCCGTTAATTTCATTGAGATTGGTTACTATTATTCAGTTTTTGAGTTGTACAACAGTAGGGTTAGGATGTTAAAAATTTTTTGATATTGTTCATATCACTACTGATTAACTCGTTGTCACTTAATGTAACATGAAATACATTCATTACATTTCTAAACAATTCACATCGATTGAATGTTAATATACTAGTCATATGACAATCTTTCATTGTTATCACTGAATAAAGTAAATTTACACAGTTTTTATCAGAGAATGTTATAATCTTAATCAAAATAATGGAATAAAAACTTACAGTTTCTGGTTCAAAACTTTTCATTATTATCGATCATCAACATTCTACAATATTAGACAAAAGACTTTCAGATAACCTAGTGAAACATATCAATATTTCATCATCTAATTACTGATTACTTTCATTTTCAATTAATCAGTAATACATTATCATTTTTATGATCTGATTACAATATCTTTCATGAATCATTTTCATTGTTAACTTAATAGCTGATGAATAAAAATGAAGATTTCACAAATTAGAATGGAACAACTTTTGAAAATCTTTCAAGTTTTCAACATTACAACATCTTCAAACTTTCCAGTTATCTATGAATCATTTTATTGATTTAAGATAATAATAATAATTAATGATTTGTATATTTGCTTTCTTTTGGATTTCATAATATTCACTCTTTTAATTTATCGATTGACATCTTGAACCGATTGATGATGAACCACTATTGAAAACCTGAAAGCACTATACGGCCGTTTCGTCCTATTGTGGGACTCCTCAACAGTGCGCATCTACGATCTAGCCCGCTGTATTCTGACTCAAGGCCTTCAGTCCTGCGCGCGAAAGCTTAACCTACTTGACCACTGAGCCGGCATCCAATAGTGTTAATGTCTAACCTCAACCAATCCACGAATTTGCTGAAAGTCCCACAATGGGTCGAAAAGGCCGTCCAGTGCTTCCAGGTTTTTAATGGTCGTTTAAGATCAATCGGTCCAAGATCTCAATCAATAACTTAATAATCTCCACAACCCTATACTCTTTTAATTATCATATCCCAATTATTATAGTCCTATCATCATCATCATCATCATCATCATCATCATCATCATCATCATCATCATCATCATCATCATCATCATCATCATCATCATCATCATCATCATCATCATCATCATCATCATCATCATCATCATCATCATCATCATCATCATCATCATCATCATCATCATCATCATCATCATCATCATCATCATCATCATCATCATCATCATCATCATCATCATCATCATCATCATCATCATCATCATCATCATCATCATCATCATCATCATCATCATCATCATCATCATCATCATCATCATCATCATCATCATCATCATCATCATCATCATCATCATCATCATCATCATCATCATCATCATCATCATCATCATCATCATCATCATCATCATCATCATCATCATCATCATCATCATCATCATCATCATCATCATCATCATCATCATCATCATCATCATCATCATCATCATCATCATCATCATCATCATCATCATCATCATCATCATCATCATCATCATCATCATCATCATCATCATCATCATCATCATCATCATCATCATCATCATCATCATCATCATCATATTAATAATAGTAAATGAATTTTACTCAATTGATTGTTTTTTTTTCTCTTTCCAACTACAACACCATATCACATAAATTATTCCTTAACCTGTCAGAATCAAATAAATTAACTAATATATAATGTATTCCATTTTTAATTACTAATTACTACAATTATATATCTATATACATTTCATATAAATTCCTTTTTTTTCCTCTATAAAACATATAACTAATAAGAATGTCAATAGCATAAGATTGTGGCTGAAATGTCACATTTACAGTAAAGCTAAGTATATACATATATCATAAGAAATATGGGTTGTCTATTCTCTGTAAAGTACATTTAATCTCATCAAAATGACATGATCATATTTAGATTTTGTACAGAATTTCTTTTAATAGTTAGTTTCTTTATATTACTATTCAAATTATCTATAATGAAGTAAACTGACATGGAAACATGAAATTATGTTGATTATAATATTCATCATGAATAGAAATATTATTTCAAAATATTATGAGTCATAAAGACCTATGAAACAATTTCCTTTTAATAGTTGAATTCATCAGTTAATATAAACTAGATCACTATTAAAAGTCTGAAAGTACTGAACGGCTGATTTATCTTAGTATGTGACTCCTTAGCAGTGTACATCTACAATCCTGCATGCGGGATTTAAAACCAGGGCATTCGATCTCGCGTACGAATGCTTAACAACTGTCCAATACTTTAAGGTTTTTAATGGTGTTCTATCTTACATTGACTCATGAATTTTAACTGTTAAAATAACTATAGTCTCCACAATCTCTGTTCTGATAATTTTCTTTTAAATAGAGATTTGTTATTTCAGCGTTATGAAAATAAGTCAATTGTTTAAATACTGATCAGAGATCAATTATCAATGATTTTATTCAACGTTGTCAACTAACATTTCCTTACATTTGCCACACTGATTACTTCAATACAAATCGGTCTGAATCAGAATTATATATATTACAATTAATTTAAAAGGGGTATTCAACAATAAAACAACGTTTTAAAAGATTTCTGGCTAAGAAAACATTTCAACGATACTTCAAGATTTTCAAAGGAGCTTCAATAAATATATATTTGTGATAAAAGTAATACATTTTGATCTTATTTAATATGAAAAGAAAACCTATAAATCGATTAATTATTAGTTGGAATTATGTTATTTCATGTATTCGCTCATAGATTTTCATATTAGTGAAGAAAATCTGTACAGATGTTCATTATTATTGTTTGTCATTTCCACTGATCAGGAGGCGATAGGTAACTCTACAACATCTTTGTATCTTTACAATTATTCATTTATCAGAAAGAGGTTTTGTGAATAGTATAGTAATTTAATCGTTGAGCTCATGAGTCATTTGAAGCTAGACCATCATGAAAAACCTGGAAGCAGTGGATGGCTCACTGGTAACTGATTTCAAGAGGTATTTCCTGGAGTTCTAATGAGAAGCAGTGACCAGTGGAGTTCAACCGGGTCTGTTGTGGGATAGTAACTCACTGATGACAACGGTGGATGTGTCGCTCAATTTCGTGGATTAGTTAAAGTTCGGCATTCACACCGTTGGATGCCGACTAGTTCAGTGGTCTAGTGGTTAAGCGCTCACACACGAAACTGATAGGTTCTGGGCTCGAATCTCGCGAGGCGGGGTCATGAGTGCTCACTGCGGACGAGTCGCGCATTAGGACGAAACGGCCGTCCAGTACTTCCAGGTTTTCTATGGTGGTCTAGATTCAATTGACTCATGAACTCAACTATTAAATTATTCCTTTTTTAAATATATTATCTGGTGAGCGTCATATCAATCTATGAATAATAGTCAAAACTCATGTGATTATTGTAAAGATAAATAGAAATTAGTCGAATCAAATGGCTCACATATATATCAATACTTAACCGGTCACTCCAAAGTCGATTGAAATTAAGTGTTTAATTTTTGCAGAAGATTAAAAAATGAAAAGTTTATTAAAATAAGGTTTGATGCCTAAAATTATTTTGTATGGTGGAAGATTTGGTATGTCAAGATTTAAAATTAGAGTTACATACAAGAAATAGATTGTTAGATACTCTTCTTCATAATGTTTGGACAAAAATATTTCTATTTTGCAGTTTGGGTTTGTGGAGCTTGTTGAATTTTATTGATTTGTGTGAGGGCTGGGATACTTCTCGGATCCCCAAATCGAAGCGGGTGATTTTCTTAGGGAGACACACCCCGAGTCTTTGACCTAAAGGTCTAATCCACAAAGCAGTAGCACAACGTTAGAGGATCCAGTCCCATGGTAGCCAGTGACCAACGATTGGTTCGTACGCCTTAGGATCCTGAAGCCCATGTGCACCATTGGTTTGGAATGAGGGTTTTCCAACTCCCCTAGGTAGATCCTCTGTACTCACCAACCCGGTTAAAGCACCGGACATTCTCTTTTCGTACTCTCAATTTCGTAAAACACACCCTCGACGAGAGAAGGCAGTGAGTAGAACTTCCCTAGAAGTGGCTATATACACGTATTACATCATATGGAACCCTACTCTCGAGGTTAATCAGTAGTGAGCAGTTTATAACTATCACTTCGGGGTTGTTAAATTTCATCGAGATTACGAACCGATTTTTATTCCCATTTTATCTCATTTTTGTAAAAAAATCATTGTTTGTTTATTGATTCCCATCCATCATTTATACTCATATCCTTCATTCCAACTGTTAGATTAGCAACTCTACTTGTCTTATCGATTAAATATTTTATACGTTCGGAAAATATAATTTCTTCAACCATTTACTGAAAACAAGGTCGTTACCACTTCAGTATCCTAACAAACACAAAGTATCATTTCTTAAGATAAACTAGTCGCTTGGCACTCTAACTCAGTAATTTAATGAGTTAAGCGCTAGTCGTCTTAATCGATAGATATTAGGTTCGAATCCTTATGTAAGTATTAACACAGATGCAAGAGCATGTAGCTGTTGAGTACTAAGTAAGACGTAATCGACATCATGGATTCCATTTGTAACAAAAATCTAAAAGTAGAATAGATCATTTAGTTTGCTTATAGGTTCACAAATTAATACACATCTTTATTCACAGTTGAAAATGATCTTATTGGAAAGTATACTTTCACTGGTGAATTAACTATTGCTTAAAGTAATGCATATAATCAAATGACTTGGAAGCCATAACACTATCGAACATAATGTATTTTTTATCCTACACAAACAATTTATAGATATGTATACAAAGACTTGTACTTACATGCTTACTTACTTACGCCTGTTACTCCTCGTGAAGGAGCATAGGCCGCTCACCAGCATTCTCCATCCAACCCTGTCCTGGGCAATCCTTTCCAGCTCCTTCCAGTTTTTATTCATCCCTTCCATATCTGCTTTTATTTCCCGACGTAAAGTGTTCTTTGACCTTCCTCTTTTCTGCCTTCCTGCAGGATTCCAAGTTAGGGCTTGCCTCGTGATGCAGTTTGACGATTTGCGTAGTGTATGTCCCATTCATTTCCATCGTCTTTTCCTAATTTCTTCTTCAGCTGGAAGCTGGTTTGTTCTCTCTCACAAAAGGCTGTTGTTGATGGTATCCGGTCAATGGATGTTGAGTATCTTGCGAAGACAGCTATTTATAAATACTTGTACCTTCTTGATGATGGTTGTAGTAGTTCTCCAAGTTTCAGCTCCATACAGTAGAACTGCCTTGACGTTCGTATTGGAGATTCTCAATTTGATATTGGTTGAAAGTTGTTGAAACAAACAAGTTATAGATATGTATACAAAAACTTGTATTAATAACAAAATATTAGTTTTCAGAGAACAAACGATTCCAAAAGAACCATAAAAATTTACAGAGATATACTAACAAAAGAAATTTGTTGTGTCACTGATGAAGTGTTAAATATAATTCATCGGAGAAAATTGTATCTTTCACTGAAACCATCTAGTCGTATTATGTAGTGATTTAACAAATATTTTAGTTTAGATTATTATCATGAATGGGGCAATGTTAAACCACCATTAAAAATCTGAAATCACTGAACGGCCATTTCATCCTAGTATGGGGCTCTTCGACAATGCGCATCCACAACCTCGCACGCGAGATTCGATCCCAGGACCTCCGATCTCGCGCGCGAACACAACCTCTAGACCACTGAACCGGCATCCAGTAGTGTTAATGTCTAACTTCAAACAATCCATGAAATTGAGTCACCGTCCACCATTTTCTTCAGTGAGTAACTGCATCACAACAGACAAGAGTGAACTCCACTGGTCCGAATTCCTCCGGAAGTCACGAGGCTGATAGCCTCTTTGCAATCTGAGTAATCATTCAGACCCAGGACAGAGTGGGCTGGGGAATGCTAATCGGCGGTCTATGTTCCACTGAGAGTAACAGGCGTAAGTAAGTAATACATCCAGTTATGATCTAAACCACAACCATTTCCTTAAAATATACACAGGCGAGAAGATTATATAAATCTGCGCATTATAGAAATTGTAGTATAGATGTTTTAAAATAGAATCGGAAGTTTTTATCGATAAACCTCGATAGACAATAATTTATAATGAGTATTTATCAAAAATTGAAATATTTCATTGAAGATTGTGTCAAAAAATAGAAAAAGTAGTGTAATCTATTTTGTATTCGATCCCAATCATGTATCAGTTTTATTTCTTCTTTGAGACAGTATAAAATACATCAATATCTTTCAACTATTTGCACTATTATTATTATTATTAATTAAGGGTATTTAAAGTGCTGAAAGGTAAAACAAGATTTTTCATTGGCAAAAACAAAAACAAAATGAGAAACTGATAAAAAATGTTTTTTTCTTTCTCATTTATTTCCCCCTCTTCTCAACTCATTAATCTTATCACACTATACTAATAAATACTTGAATTATGATTGTTAATGTTAAGACTATGAGTAAAGTTTTGTTTAATCGTGTATCTCTAAGTGAGTGTGTGTGTGTGCGTGTGTGAATGTGAATGTGAACTTTTAGC